AAAATGAGATCGCACTTCACATCTATTAGCGTGGCCAATGTCCAGAACACTGCCAACCCCAAATGCCAGAAAAGATACAGAGCAACAGAAACTCATTCATTGCTGTTGGGAATGCAAAATGGTATCACCATCTTGGAAGACAGTTTAGCAGTTTCCAACAAAGCTAAGCATAGTGTTAAAAAAAAAAAAATTCAACTGAGTAAATTTGAAGGTCTAATTGGTTTTATTAAACAACTCAAGAATCGGGCAACAGCCCATGAAGCAAGTAGAGAGATGCTCAGAGGAGTTGTACCAAATGAAATGTTCTCATAGGCAGGAGGGTGACGCAGGAAGTTACTAGCAAAAGAAAAGAAAGGACTGTTTCAACCAGAACATCTTCTTTTGTTGGGGGAGGGGAGGGAAGGGCAGGGTTTATATCACGCAGATGATCTCACTACTGCTGATCCGAAATGTCCTGGGGGACTTGTAAAAGGTCACGTTCTTGGAAGAGGTTGAAACTAGTTAAATCTTCATTTGCTATCCTGGGGGGCGGGGGGGGGGCAAAAGACTCCCATCTGAGCTTGTTCTTTCTTTTTTAACAATTGTCTTACCAAATGATCCAGCGATTATGCTCCTTGGTATTTACCCAAATGAGTTGAAACTCCTGTCCATACAAAATCCCATACATGGATGTTTATAGCAGCTTTATTCATAATTGCCCAACCTTGGAAGCAACTAAGATGTCCTTCTACCGGTAAGTAGATAAACAATTCGTGGTACATTTATACAATGAGATGTTATTCAGCAATACGAAGAAATGAGCTATCAAGTCATGAAAATACACGGAGGAACCTTACATGCAAATTGGTAAATGAAGAAAGCCAGCGTGAATAGGCTACACATCTTATGATTCCAATTACAGTACATAACATTCTGAAAAACGCAAAACTATGGAGACAGTAAAAAGTTCTGTGGTCACCTATGTTCACAGGGGAGAGTGGCAGGGAAGACTTGGCAGAGCGCGGGCTTTTTAGTGAAACTATTCTGTACAATTCTGTAATTGTGGTTACATGTCATTATGCATTTGTCAAAACCCCCAGCCCTACCCTCCCATAAAGTATGGACTTTGGGTGACGATGATGTGTCGGTGCAGGTTAGTCCATTGTAACAAATGTACCCCGCTAACGCAAGATGTTAAAAATAGGAAAATTGTAGAATTGCACAGTAGCGCACACAGACACTCTCTGTACATTGTGCTCAATTTTTCCTTAAGGCTAAAACTGCTCTACACAATGAAGTCTATTCAATTTTTTTTTAGCTTAATTAAAAAAAAAAGATGAGTGATAACCATGATTACAACAGGAAGTTACTACAGAATTATCTCGAGGGGTTGGAGGTACACTGCTTGCCCCAGGGAGAGATCTGAAGAGTCAAGTCACATAAGACAAAGAACAAATCCTAAAGGAACACATGGGGGGAAATGACAACTAAAGAAATATAAGTTAAAAGAACCACTTTACACATTTTAAATTCACAGAATGCAAATTTTACACATGCTAAATCAGCATACAATTTCAAATGCCACCTGGCATTCGCCAAAGCTGTGGGGAGTGTGATAGGATAATTTCCGACTAGTAGGAGTCTACTTCATAAACACTTCCACTTGCTGGTGTGCTGAACAAGATGCTCATGCGTTTTGACCAGAAAATTCTAGAAATTTATTCTAAAGAATGTTCCCTGAGAACCCAATTCTACAGAAGTTAAAAACCTGTTGCGGAATATTATTGTTCAGGAAGACTGCTCTGGTGTCTCCAATAAATTGATATTTTAAAAAGTGGGTGGGAGGGGAGATGTTACAGGATAGAGGAGACTTAGAAGACATAACAGCCAAATGCAATGTATGGACTTCGTCTGGACTCTGATTTGAATGAATTGTGAAACGATACTTTTTAGACCTATGGAGAAATTTTAATATGGACTGGAAAGGAGGTGATATTGACAAATTATTGTTCATTTTGTGATATAAAAAGTGGCAGATGATTATGTTTTAAAAAGTCATTATCAAAGAGGCATTTTGAAGTATTTATAGGTAAAATGTCATGCTAAAAATAATCCAACTTTTATGGTATGTATATTTTACCATGATTTTCTAAAATCCATAAATATATGTAGTGGTGGGGAAAAGGGGTGTGGAAATGAAATAAGATTGGTAAATGTTGACAGTGGCTGAAGATTTATGATGAGTACACTGATATTTATCATACCTTTTTTATATGCTTAAATTTTTCCATAATGAAAAGTTTTAAACTATTCCTTTACAGCGGACTAAGGTGTACTTTACTACTTGTTCTAGATAGTTAGCTGAGCACCTAGTTGCCTAGTAAAGACTCCATTTCCCAGACTTCCTAGATAGTTAGCTGAGCACCTAGTGGCCTAGTAAAGACTCCATTTCCCAGACTTCCTTGTGGCTAGGTGTGGCCATGTGATGAAGTTCTGACCAATAAGATGCAAGAGAAAGTGACATGAGACACGTGCTATTCATGGGTGTTGCTCTTAAAAAAAACAACAACAACTCCGTGTACACGTGTTCCCCTGATCTTTGCCATTTCCCACACCTGCCCTGGTGGATTCAGAAGGAGCCAAGGAATCCTGACCCTTTTGTTGTCCCCTCATCTGAGAAGTTCATTCTTCATTGCATATAGATAAGAGTGAAGGATAGTTCATCTCCCTGTACCATTTCAGGACCAATTTCTAGGACTATATCAAGTGGTCATTTGTTTGGAAGTCACTCATTGAACACATTCTCACCAGCTTAGTTTAAGTGCGGTAAATCACAGGACATCCATGAACTTCACAGACACAGGCTTATTTAGGAATTTTCTTAGCCACTTGCTCAGTGAATACAGATTATGGAAAATTTGTATGCAGCATCTATTATGTGCCAAGCACTGTGCGAGTCTGAAGAAAACATATTAATAAGGTATTAATTCTCCCTCTTTTAAAGATCGTGTTGTCTGGTGATTTAATTTATACAAGATTAAAGACAGAAATATGTGCAATATTGTTGGAAAATAGATCTTTCCAAGACCAAGCACAATGCTATTATTTCTGATTAGGTATAAAATTCTCTGCTTGCTTCAATCTAGCAGTGAAAGAATGGAGTTACTATGGAAGAGTTACTATTCAGAATTTTTTTAACTGCAAAAACATTATAACAACAAAAATATTTTATTTTAGTTTAGTTTCTTTTTTAAGATTTTTAATTTATTTATTTGACACAGAGAGAGAGACAGCGAGAGACAGAACAGAAGCAGAGGGAGTGGGAAAGGGAGAAGCAGGCCCCCCACTGAGCAGGGAGCCCAATGCGGGCTCGATCCCAGGACCCTGGGATCAGGACCTGAGCCAAAGGCAGACGCTTAACGAATGAGCCACCCAGGCACTCCACAACAAAAATATTTTAAAGGAGACAATTCCACTGGTAATCACTTAATACATGTATTTAAAATTTTCTATTTACGTCAGTCCTTGTTTATATTTATGTACAATTTTTACAAAGCCTAAGCAGAGCATATAGAGAAGTTTGTACTTGGAAATATGTGGTCCAACCCTCCTTTCACTCAAGCATTTTTCATATTTTTATATGAACTGCTTACATATTTTGATGGCTGAAGAATATCCCATCGTTCTGATAGCATATTTTGCTTAGTTACTATCTTAACGTTTATTTATATTATTTTGAATATTTTACTACGATAAAGAAAAAGCTTTAATAAACAACTTCGTGAATTTAACCTTTTCCTTTTGGAGTATTTCTTAGCAAATTTCCTAGGAATATAATCACTAGTTCAAAGAGTGATTTATTTTTATGTTTTCTGCCAAGTCGATTTCCAAAAGAATTGCACCAATTATTATTACTAGGAATACAGCAGTTTTAACAGAATGTCACCACATTTGAGCATTTCCACATACATTTTTGGTTAACTTAGAAAATATCTTTTAGAAATATATTTATAAAAATATGTCTTCTGGGGCACCTAGGGGGCTCAGTCGTTAAGCGTCTCTGTTGGGCTCAGGTCATGATCCCAGGGTCCTGGGATCGAGCCCCGCATCGGGCTCCCTGCTCGGCGGGAAGCCTGCTTCTCCCTCTCCCACTCCCCCTGCTTGTGTTCCGTCTCTTGCTGTGTCTCTCTCTGTCAAATAAAGAAATAAAAATCTTAAAAAAAAAGTCTTTTTTTTTGGCTTTTTTAAGATTACAAATCGGGTTGACCTCTTTATTTGAAAGTTGACTGCCCTTCTGTGAAATGTAACTGTCCTTTGCAGACATTATCTATCAGGGTCTTGAAGATATCATTGTATTTCTGGCTCTTTTTCTTTTTTTCTTCAAGGCTTTATTTTTTTAGAGCAGTTTCAGGATCAGAGCAAAATTGAGAGCAATTTCCCATACACTCCTGCCCCCCCCCACAGTTAACCTCCCCATTATCAACATCCCCCACCAGAGTGGGACATTTGTTACAACTGATGAACCTACAGGGACACATCGTAATTGCCCAAAGTTCACAGTTTACATTAGGGTTTACCTCTGGCTTTTAATAACGTCTATTACTTGTACCAATTGCTTTCAATCACATTACAATTTTTAGGGAAACTCTTTAATTAAACATTTTCTGACAACGTAGAGCTAACAAGGATAACCAGGGCAAGTGAGTCCCGTGGCTTTTTAATATATTTAAGCAAAAAGTATGAACTGATTAATAGATGCCAAAATGTTAATAATTTCATATGATATATGAAATACAGAATAGATCACCATGAAATATATAGCTCCATCTACTGTAAGTACTTTGAATTGGATATCTCTGGGTTTTGTACTTTATGGACCTTAGTTTATTTTCATCCTGAATTTAACTTGGGAGTTTTGTAAGCGATGTCAGGCTCAGAGCATTTTGCTAGACTCTAAGGCATTTAAACATAATTAACAAGAGCATGCTGCCCCTCAGATCTCCTCGCTGAATGTTTTGTGGTTTTTTTTTTTTTTTCATGCTTAAAGACAAATGTATTCAGTTCCTTTCCATTCAGCACATAAGGTATCTATATGCTTGTGATTTCTTTTCCAAATCAAGTTGGGACAACCTTTGAGGATCCACTCATCCTCCAAGGTGAGCCATTTTATATACCATGCTCTGTTAAGTATCTTATATGGAAGGGGGAAAAGAACACTTTTGCTGACCTACAGATTAGTCAAGTGGGGAGTGTGCTGGGAGAACAGCTAATGTCTATGGTCTCTTCCGTTGCCATCAAGTTCACAATAGGGCCGTATCAACTTGTACCAACAGATGCCTACAGAAGCCATTCAGATATGCCACAGCAGAGAGGAAGTCATGGAAGAAGAGGAGCAGCAGGAGAGACTTGATGTCCTATGATGGAGTGAAGAGGCTGCTGGTTTGGAAAAAAACAGGAATAATGAAAGTGAAGTTGTCCTCCTTAGGATGCCATGCCAAGCAGAAAGCCTCCGAAAAATCCCCCAGTCACTAGAACGTTCTTCTTCACAAACGACACTACCTCCTCTGCTTTGCTTTTGACCTTTGTAGGTATCTGGTTGCTCTTACGGATCTTCAGCTGTTCCTTGGCTTTCTTCATGTCCTTCTCTACTCGCTGCCAGTCAACCTTGATGTACCCAGTATGGCTTGCAAGCTGAAGGAGAAAAAATCCACCTCCCACAGCTGTTGCAGCCAACTTTCCAACCTTTTGGAATATGAAACCCGTGCACCATCCAGTGACACCTCCAATTAACAGCTGGGTTGCCACGCTATATTTTTCAGCTGAGGGCCCAGATTCCTGCCCAAACAGCTTGCGCCACCATGGCTGCTTTTTAGCAAATTCTGCAAGGTCCAGTGACTCAAAATTTCCCTCAAAGTTTCCTTGACTGGATGCGGCCATTTCGGCGAGTTCTGTTTTGTGTTTTTTAAAAGATTTTATTTATTCACTTGAGAGAGAGAGAGAGCACTCGTGCGCACAAACAGGGGGGAGGGGCAGAGGGAGAGGGAGAAGCAGACTTCCCCCTGAGCAGGGAGCCCAATGTGGGGCTCAATCCCAGGACCCCGGGATCGCGACCGGAGCCAAAAGCAGACGCTTAACCAACTGAGCCACCCAAGTGCCCCATCCTAGCTGAACGGTTTTAAGGCAACCCCTAACCCAGGCTGACATCTGGTGACCGGCTGACCCTGTCTCGCCTTGGAAGGACTGAGATTTTAGGGTCTAAGAGGAATTACTCGGCTTTACCTAAAGCTGCAATCATTGGAGGGGGGTGAAGTTAAGTGACATGAGGGGAAAGGAATTCAGGAAAGGGTTGGAGAGATGGGTAGGGAAGGAACAGGGACAAAGAGAGGCCAGTGGTGTTCTCACTTACCCCCAGCTGGCCAGCATTTCAAGCCAATGAAAGGACACGGCCAGAGGTGACAGTTTCATGACGGACCAGGTCATTCATTCAGAGCAGGTGTGCCTTGCACGGGCCAGACAGCATGTTCCGAACTGGAAGAACCCTCAAGCAACTACTTACTGTCTAGTAGATGAAAAAGATGCTCAAGCAAGTACCACACCCTGTGGTGGATGTTGAAATAAGCCCATGTGTTTGCACTGTCCCTTGATAGTAAAGAGAAGGCAGACATTCGCTTTGCTGCAGGGAGCAAGGGCAGGAGTGGCAGGGCACCAGGCGTCACTCGGGTGACCTCATAAAGGAGGAAGCAGGTGAGATAAACACGGAACGGTAGGATTTCTAAGGGCACGGAAAGAGAGGAAGGGCATTTTGGGTGAGGGGAACAGCACGAACAATGGCATAGAGGTGTGAAATTTCCTCATGTCTTTAGGAAACAGGGTAGCCAGGTGCAGCTAAAGCTTCCCAAGATGTCAGGGCGAGAAGTTACATAAGCAGGACCAGCTTCTTGAAGACCTTAAACTCCTGGGCGAAAATTCTGCAGACATGGAGAGCTTCGAGGCAGGGCAGAGACAAGAGAACAATTGTCTGGAAGCAGAGCAGAGTGGATTGTAGTGCTTTAAGACTTGGAGGTCAGAGAGGCTGGTTAGGAAGGTACTGGAACGAGTTCAGAAGAGAAATGGAAGATCAGAACCAGGGCAGTAGCAGTATAAAGAGGAGGAAACAGAATGATAAGGGGAAGTTCAAATTCACCTTTGGAACAGACAGTGTGGGGCCACCAACTGGACTTAGGTGGCATCTCTAACTAAGACAAGGACATTGGGAGAAGGGCTGATCAGGCATTTGATTAATATCCATGCACAGACACACTAAATGGTGCATAAAAAGTGTTCCGTCCATGTTATTTATTATTATTACTATTATATATCTCAAAAATGGAATCATTTGCTGACTTTTTTCAGATAATTTTTAGAAAAGTTAAATAACTGAATTTCTTTGTATTAAGCAAAATACTAGAGATTACTAGAAAACTTCTATTGCATTTAAGATCATTAACCCTTAAATCAGAACCTTTGTAACTTAGTCTACTCAATGTTGCCCATAAAGCAGCTGCAAAGCATTAAGATATCACCACACCTACTTTACCGCTGTCTCCTGCCCTCACCCTGGACTGAGAGTGTCCACAAATCAGACGCCGACTTATTTGCCAGTATGTCCCCATGCCTAAGGGCAATCTTAGAACATGGTCATGGCCAGTGTTCCCAAAACCTTTGTTGAAGAATGAAGGAAGAAATGCGTGAAAGAATGGACAAGGCAACAAAAGAATGAAATCCTGGGGAAAGAGATCCCTTCTTTTGGACTGAATATAATGTGTACCATACTTGGAAGTTGCCCAAATGGCCCAAGCAAGGGATGAGTAGAATGAACTCCTGGCAGACATACTTAGCCACACTGGAATCCACAGTGACTAAGAGCCAGTTAGCTTCCCACCCAGAGGCAGTCCATCTGCCCACATCCTCCCTCTCTGTACAGTTTTCTCGCTAAATAGACTCGTCAAAGAGGGCAGGTTTTAGCCCAAATCATTTGGATTCGGTTTCTACTATCATTCAGATGTTCTGCACACTTCACAGACTTTTTGTATGAGGATATTGATTCAGGTACAAAATCAGGTCACGTTTCTCACCTAAGAGTGGCTCCAAGCTGTTGGAATTCCAAGTTCTTTCTATCTGGTAGCTCTCGCACACTCAACAGGCAGCTTCCAGTACCTCGTGTGGGGTGACAGATCCAGCTCCCCACCACCATGTCCTTATTCCAGCCTCAGGAAAGGGAGAAAAGAGGGCAGGAGGACATCTTTATTTTAAGGGCATGACCCAGAGGTTGCATGAATTACATTATCCAAAGTTGGTCCTGTGGCCACACTGGCTCCCAGGCATGCCGGGAAATGAAACATCTAGCTGGCTCCCCATGTGCCTGCCTGAAGCTTCCATCGCTACAGAGTGAGGTCCTTAACCTTTCTTAGGCCATGGATCCCTCTGGCAATCTCTTGACACTGTTTCTCAGAATTCTCAAACTGTTTAAGAAAAAAAAAAACTTTAAAAATATACATTAAAAATAATAGTGAAAGATTTGCATTTGTGCTTCTTATTGCATTATCAACAAACATGGCAGCAGGTCTAATCACTGCTGTAACTTACTGTGACCATCACCTATATTACATTTGTAATTGAAAGAAATGATAAATTTCAGTTAGAGGTTAGTTAAAACAAAGATGCATTTTTTTTTCCTTATCCTGGTTCATGAACACCCTGAATTCTATCCAAAGGCTTCTTGGAGTTTGTGAACCTCTTCTATGCATCTTTACTAATAGCATAAGATGAAGGGACACTGGGGGGCACTCATAGTATGGGCCACACTCCACATTTCCATCCAGGCCCAGGCTCTGTGGTCAACACTCTCTGTAGTAGTCAGGGTTCAGTGAGGGGATAGAAACCACAGAGACATTTGAAAGGGAAAAGTTTAGGGGCACCTGAGTGGCTCAGTTGGTTAAGCGTCTGATTCTTGGTTTTGGCTCAGGTCATGATCTCAGGGTTGTGAGATCGAGCCCGGGGTCAGGCTCCATGCTCAGCATGGAGTCTGCTTGAGATTCTCTCTCTCACTCTCCCTCTGCCCCTTCCGCTCATGTTCTCTCTCTCTAAAGTAAATAAATACACCTTTAAAACAAAGAAAAGAAAAAGAAAGGGAAAAGTTTAATATAATTATTAACTATAACAAGGATTGATGTCACAAGGAACTGACTAGTAGGAAGTAAAGAGAGCTCTAAAGAATACAGGAATTGAAGATGGAAAGAGGCCTGAGGACTGACATTGTCAGAGGGCAGGGCATGGCTTACTGGATGACAGTGTAGTTGCTGGTGGAACTTGCTGGAAATCCATCCTCTAGGTGCTGGGGAAAGCCATTCCTGGAGACGCATCTCACTGCAGGCCCTATGAGACCACCAATGGAAGCTGTGGGGTGCTGGGTGCTGGGTGCTGCTGTATACTGCAGAAGCCAGGCTCTAGGGAAGCCACCTTCCCTGCCACACTGGGCACCGGGGAAGCCATGGCACTGTGTGAGCCAGGTGCTGGGGGGTCTACCTACACCGCTGTAATTGGTGGTGCTCCAAACCTGATGCCGGGTCAGTGGCCCTTGTTTGACCACCAACTTGCAATTTTCCTCCTTACTCCAGCCTTGTTTTCTCAATCAATGGTTTGGGGCTTCTGCCCAAGTTCTTGGTTATCTCCTAGTTCTCCAAGCAAAGATTCAAGAATGACTCTGAATCTTGGCTACTGGGACTGGAACTTGGATACTTAACTCAGGCTTTTCTAGCTCATTCCTTGGAGCCCCAAATTATTATCCAAGTATCTTCTCTTACCGGATGGAATCTTAAACACTGGAAAATTAGGTGAAGTCATGATGTTTTCTGAGAACTTCATTTGCTACGAGGTCCTGTGCAACAGACTGAGTCTTCTTGGACCAAGCCCAGATCTATCAACATCTTTTGGGTCCTGGGAACCTTGCTGACTCTGGTTGATGGGTGGGGTGCCCCTAGTCTCCCAAAGCCCCATCTGGTTCCTAGTCTCCGCCCTTTCCTGCTGGCCTACCGCTGAGGCCCATGATGACTGGAGTTAAGTTCTTCAGATTAGTCAACAGCAAAAGTGGGAAGACCGAGGCTGGCTTTAGGGGCACGTAGAGGTGGTTCCTACCAATGCGAGTTTTTGTTTTTTAGGTTTTTCAAGAAAGATTATTTATGTGCGAGAGAGAGAAAAAAAATGGGGGCAGAGGCAGAGGGAGAGAGAGAAAATCCCCAAGCAAACTCCCCACTGAGCCTGGAGCCCAATGCAGGGCTTGATCCCAAGACCCCAAGATCACGGCTTGAGCAGAAATCAAGAGTTGGCTGCTTAACCGACTGAGCCACCCAGGCGTCCCCTCCCCACCACGTGAGGCTACTTTGTGAAGAGTCTAGAAACTCCTCCACCGAAAAGATTCTTCTTTCCTTTTATTCCCTGGTCTCTCGTTCCCCAGTCCGAGACACATATCTTAGCTCCAGGCGCTCTCAATACTGGAAATAGTACCATTTGTGATTTTTCCTTTTGGAGTTAAAATCATTGTGATTACTGAAATCTCTTTCAGCTACTAATACATACCTCTGAGAGAGAGATAATAAGCCATTATTACCTATTAACACTTTACGACGTCTTATTTACTCCTCGCTTTTAATAAGCCGTCTGCAAATGGAGCCCTGCGGAGGTAGGTCCCAAAACATCTAAGTGTGGGTCCACTACACATCTGGCTTGCCTGGGACAGCTCCAGTTCATGTGTGCTGTCCCAATATTACTATTTTTAAAGATTTTATTTATTTATTTGGGGGGGAGGAGAGAGAGAGAGAAAGAGCATGAGTGGAGGGGGGAGAGGCAGAGGCAGAGGGAGAAGCAGACTCCCCACTGAGCAGGGAGCCCGATGCGGGGCTCGATCC